GAACGAAAGATGTTCCTGAAGAACCATCAATGCAACCTGACACTCCAATCGAAAGAAAAGAACCGAAAGGTCCACTCAAGAGACAGGAAGCATCGGCAGTTCAAACTAAGGAACGCACCGAAACCAGAGTGGAAGAAAAGAGAATTAAGGAGAAAACAGAGTCAAGTTTCAATGTTCACAAATCTCAGAAGGAGCTAGTTGAACAGAAAAGACTCAGGAATTAACGATATGCCTCGAATCTAAATGAACGGAAAAGGCATTGGAATTCTCAAAATCCTAAATATGAATCTCCTAGGAAAGAATCCATGGATAAAGGGAAGAAAAAGTTAAAGGAAGATTTTGCTCCTAACTCCTATTATTCCAAATCCCAAAACCAAAAGTCAAGTTTCGGTTCTCAACCGAGTGTCGGTTTTAAACCAAATTTTGGTTCTCAACCGAGTGTCGGTTCTAAACCAAGTTTCGGTTCTCAATCGAGTGTAGGTTCTAAACCAAGTTTCAGTTCTCAACCGAGTGTCGGTTCTAAACCAAGTTTCAGTTCTCAACCGAGTTTCGGTCCTAAACCAAGCTTCGGTTCTCAACCGAGTGTCGGTTCTAAACCAAGTTTTGGTTCTCAACCGAGGTTCGGTCCTAAACCAAGTTTCTGTCCTAGACCAGGTTTTCGTCATCAATCCAAGTTCATTCCTTACACCAGATTTAGTTCTGACACCGGGTTTGGTTCCAATACTAGATATGGATCCTCCAGATTCCAATATAAACATAAGCGATCCTCCCCTAAACCTAAGAAACACACGAAAAACACTAAACTAACTAATGAAGATACCTTAAAATTTAAAGAAGATAAAACAAAAATCAAGGTATTTACTATCAAAAGAAAAGATAAAAAAACTCTCGTTAAAAGAACTTATTTTGTTGATGCTTCTATTGTAATTCCTTTCTCTGTGAAAAACTCACCAGGACCCAAGAAACTGTGGGTTCCTAAATCTGCTTGAAATTGCAGGTAATCAGTGACGAGCAGTTCGATGACGAATGGTATATAGACAGTGGCTGCTCGCGTCATATGACAGGAAGAAAGGAGGAATTAAGGGAGTTTCGGTCTCTAAAGGATGGCGGTTCGGTGAAATTTGGAAACAACTCCTATTGAACAATCAAAGGATACGAGATGATAACTAATGGAGACTTTTCCATCAGAAAGGTGGCTTATGTGGAGGGACTGCAGCACAACCTCATAAGTGTCTCGCAATTAGTTGTGGGCACAGGCTTGAAGGTATCATTCGATGATATAGGATCTGAGATTATCGAAAAACAAACCAAAAAAGTTCTGCTAAAATCGGCATAAAAAGGAGAAATGTATCCTTTGAATCTTAATCCGATTCGAGGGACACCAGCTATCTGTCTGCTATCAAAGGCAAACACTGATGAAGGTTGGCTTTGGCATCGACGTCTATATCACCTGAACTTCAAAGATATCAACAAACTGGTAATTGGTGATCACGTTCGAGGTCTTCCTCTTCTAAAGTTCGAAAAGGAGCATTTGTGTGCAGCATGTGAAATGGGAAAGCAAAGCAGAAAAAGCCACCCAACACGCATTAATACCAAGATCGTGGAAGCACTCGAATTGTTACATATTGATTTGTGTGGACCATCTGCTATAGAGAGTATCGGAGGAAGTAAGTATATTCTACTAATTGTAGATGATTTTTCATGTTTCACGTGGGTTTTCTTTCTTAGACAGAAATCAGATGCAACTTCAAGCTGAAGATGTTCATCAAGCAAGTGGAAGTTCAATTAAAGAAGACGGTGAGAAACATCAGAAGTGACAATGGGCTGGAATTGAAAAACAAGGATTTCGAAGACTTTCTGGCCGATAAGGGGATCACACACAACTTTTCGGCTCCTTATACTCCACAGCAAAACGGAATCGTTGAAAGACAAAACCGATCGTTGTGTGAAGCAGCCAGGACGATGCTCAGTTATGCCTCTCTTCCTCTATACTTCTGGGATGATGCCATTGCTGCGGCCTTCTATACTCAGAATCGGTCCCTCCTCAACAAGCGATTCTCATTAACTCATTATGAGATTTTAAACAATCGGAAACCAAACGTCAAGTTTTTCCACATATTCGGTTCCAGGTGCTTTATCCTTAACTCTAAAGAAAACCAAAATAAGTTTGACATCAAAGCCGATGAGGGGATCTTTCTGGGTTATTCTCTGTCATCAAAAGCATACCGAGTATTGAACAAGCGTTCCAAAAGAATAGAAGAGACTTACTATGTCACCTTTGACGACAATTACATGAAGAAGGTTCAACGGACAGAAGATGTCTCTAGAGACATCTTTCCCGCATCTGGACAGGTCTCGGTTCCAATATCAAATATGTTTGATGAATACATTCGGTTGTTCGATCACTACTAGAAAAACAGCCTTTTACGACGCTCATTGCGCGTCATAAAAGGCTCAGACGACGCGCAAATGCGCGTCAAGGAAGGCCCTGTCATAAAGAGAGACGACGCGCATTTACGACGCTCATTTACGATGCGCAATTACGACGCACGTTTACGACACGCAATGCGTATCAAGGAAGGCCCTGTCATAAAGGAATTCGACACGCATTCGTGTGTCGTAACCTTACGACACGCGTGTTAATGACATGCAATGCGTATCAAGAAAGCCCCTGTCAAGAAAGGCCATGTCATAAATGAAGATGACACACATTTTTGCGTATCATGATTTTAAATGTTTTAAAAAAATATTATTTATAGATTTACATATTTTCAAATTAAATTTCTATTTAATGTTTCATAATAGAAAATAAAATATCATATACAAAAACTAGAATCCATTGCATAAATTTAATGTCATACAAATAATCGTTCCATGAAAAGATAAAACAAATCAATAGTAGTAACAAAAAATTTACAAACGAATTAGATACAAAAAAATACAATCCATTGCCCCTTTGCTTATTCAAGATCAACCTGCAAGTAGCTAAATAATATGTACAAATTCACCCTTGTTTCTAATCATTTTCTTAAATACTTTACAAACATCCATAGTACCTGAACTATAGTTATTGCAGCCTTGTTTCTTCTTCTTCTGAACTCATCCCTTGCAACCATTACTCTAAGCCTAGTCTGAATAGATACAACAGCTCCTTGTACACCTCGTTTCCATCTTTATATGACACAACCAAATGCTCACCAGTAGCATCGCATGCTATCTTCTCGAAATTTTTGCCAAATACTTAGACCAGGGAATCTACTTCTTCCATGAATGGTCATAATTTTATCCTGCAAACACAGTACCCTCTTTCCCATGGCTTTCAAGGTTACTCCGTGTTGGAGCAAGAAGATGCGGACCTTGCAATCCAGAAACATATAATTCAAACATCAACAAACTTGGGTAGCTCTTGGATTGTTAGATAACATGCCACATAAAATCGAAACCAGAGTATTAAAAGTACGAAACAAAGTTTGGTTAGGATAAGTGAAAATTAATGAATATTCTAATGTTTGATGAATATTCTAATGTTCTAATATATTAATAACTCTAGGAAGAACAACCACTGTGCTTTTTGACCTCCCTGATACGAATGTTCTAATGTTTTAACATATGAATATCTCTAGGCAGAACAACCACTGTGCTTTTTGACCTCACTAAACTCAGCATGATAAGAACTATAAAGTAACATAAATATATAGAACAAAAAGATATACTTAATTGCTGATGATGAGCTTCTGGATATGTAAATGTGGTTGTATTTTGTTATTAGAACCTACCAACAAAATCTATATGCATGTGGAATAGCAGGTCCAAAAAAATCTATATATATTCAATAAGCAAATTAGGTTATAAAAGTGATAAAAATACCTAGGTAGTGTATGCATAGTTCATCAGTAGTTTCAGGGATCAACTGTTCACAGAATCAATTTGAATTGCTTGATATATGGTCAATGGCTGGAAATAAAACCAAAATAGTCAAATTTTATGGCTTAAATGAGAAAAACACAAAAATATAAGTATGTAACCATATATACTAAATCTAATACAAACATTCTATGAAGTATATGAAACTACATTACCCAGTGAAGTCAGATAAAAAAGGAACCTGCTGCTGACGGCTATGGCTTGTCACCGATTGAGTCCCCTAAACTGAGTTTGGATAAACCTACAAGCTGATCCACATTGATGGGGGTCTTGGAGTGGACTGTTGTGGGTTTAAGAACCTGATGAGACTCTGTTTTAGCTACTGGTGTGGGCCCACCCCAAAAGGGCACCACCAGCAGCAGCGTAACACTTGTATTGTGCCTCTTGCACCAAGTTCATACCTGGCTCCACAATGTTTGAGCTAGAAGAATCCGTTGATTCACATTCATCCTCATCTTCTTCTTCTTCTTCTTCTTCTTCTTCTTCTTCTTCTTCTTCTTCTTCTTCTCTCCTCCTTCTTCTTCTTATTCTTCTTCTTCTTCCACTTCTTCTTTTTCCTCCACTGTAGGAACACACATTTTAGATTGGGTCTCTCCATCATGGGATTGGGAACCCATCATATTCATACCAGCATCAAGAGGTTGCGCAAATTCAATAAACCATATTACATCAATGCATTATACATGTAAATAATCTAAATGTATATTGTATAAGATACATACATCATCCGACACCAGAGAATGGAAGAGTAAACATGACTTTTTTTTCAAATCCCATGATAACTTTAATTAAGTCCATGACAATAAAAGATCCAAAAGGCTTATATTTATATTATATAACATTACCTATGCTAAAAACTCTTTGAACTGCACAAGGAAATCCCGTATGTGGTTCTTAAATGTATAAAGGTCTGATCTTGACTCAAATAGTCCATTCACAAATTTCGCAACCTAGGAGAATTACATTACATCCCTCCATCAGATATCTAAATATAACATAAATAAACAAACATCACTTGCAATTGTAGTTTTTATCATACTCCTATACTAAATTACCAAAATAAATTACCAAGCATTTCACTCATAGATTGAACCAACTGCATTCCATCTCACCTGTATTCCCCCCAAAAATGAAAAAGATCCACGTGCATGCCTACGCTTGCTGTTTGAAGGAGGACTCTTTTTCCCACTTCTGGAAGTCAACATAGATTGAACAGCTCCAGAAATGATGGAACCAAACCTAAGTGTCATCAACATCAGTATTCATTCATTCAACTGATGATAGATAGATAGATAGATAGTCTTGGAAGAAAAAAAAAAAAAAAGTTAAAAACCACTGTCTATTACCACAAAGATGAGAGAAGTAACCATGTAGGTTCTTTTTCAACCTTAGCAAACACAGTGTTTCGGCTAGCTTCTGATAGCATTTTTCTAGCTACATCAAGCATTGTTCTGGGAAATCTTTACCAAAATAAATAAAAAGTTAAAAACCATTGTCTATTACCACTTCAGCATCATAATTATGAGAAAGTTCAAACTGTTACCTGGCTGGATAACCAAGAGGCAGCTTTGGGGAGACAGATGCAAGTGCAGCCAAAATTGTAGCTTGTCCACTTAAGGACTAAAGCTCAACCTTGAGATTGTTTCCCTGTATTACATTTTCAGAAAACAATATATATAAACAAGTGAAGTAACTAAATTTCAAATTCCTTTTAAAAGAAAACTAGGTCTTTGAAAAGAATCAAGAGTTTGCTGCTTCTATTAATAAGTCTAACAGTTTGGGCATGCAGGGGCATAATGGGAAAAGTAGTGTGATTCCGAGTGGAAAAGAGGAAAGAGAGGAAAAGGGCATGGGTAGCATGGATATACAAAAGCAAATTATTGCTGGTAATTGCTGGTGATGAATTTCTACATTAAAAATTATAAGTTTCTATCAAAAGTATCCAAACTTTCACATAATGATAGCTTTAAATATTCACCAAATGTCTTAAATACCCTTTGATAATGATGCAAAAAAAAAGGCTTATAATTCTCAGACTTGGAATTTATAGGAAATGTACCTCATAAACAGTCATTTCTTTGCAAAAAGAGGCTACTGATCTTTTGGAATTGTCATCAGCTACCAACTCTTCGTTACTAATGACGATTTTACCCCTATCAGAAATGCTAGTGTATATAAGTGGTCGTTAGGGTCATTGCTGGAAGATTCTGAAATTTTCCCTACACCAGTAAAAAGAGGGTTAAGTGATTAGAAATAAATCTTTATACTATTAAAAAATAACATGTGAACAAACCTACACATATCAATTATCTGTTCCAGGATTAATAACTGAAATTACCTGTCTTGACCCTCTCCAGCTGCTGCTGCAAAAGACTCAACCCTGTCATTGTACAAGCTTTTATTCCCACATGCTAATATCATATCAAAAAACAAATATATTTATTTACTACGCTACGCATAAAAAATAAATACCATCATAAACAGGATATAAATTTACTAAAATTATTTGGCATTTCCCCATGGTCTATAGCAGCAACACCACCTTGTTGATTTTCTGCGGCTACACGTATCATCATGTTGAAAAGCAAACCACCTGCATGAAAATTGTACACTTGACTCTCTTTCAGGCGTCCCATTGTTGAAAGCAAACCACATGCATGAAAATCAAGAAATGAGACTTTCTTTCCCTAACTTTTTACGAATTTGCCCTTACCTGACAAATTGTGCAGAAACTAAGTTCTTGATCAGCAGATGAAACAACTTCCAACTTAGAAGACATAAATACCCTTGTTTACAAATAACCTGAAATAAAATCCTCTGATAACCTTGATCCAGCATTCCCAATCTGCTCACCTAATGCAAGAAGCTCCTGCATATACACAAAAGGTCAATTTCGTAATTTGACTAAAAAAGAAGCCAATCTTTGTATACTCATAAGACATATGATCAATATCCATACGCATATCTCTATGATGATCAACTCTTCATCCATAATTAGAAATATCAAGCATTGCAACACCCTGTTATTAGAAAAAAAAATTAATAAAAGGAATTTCATTTTCTTGCATGATTTGATTATGAAGAGAGTAATATTTAATAATAATAATTAACATCTTCAGGAAGAACTCTTAAATGTGGAAAGTCATGTGGTCTTTCCAAGCTCGGTTAAAAGAGGGGTTTATGTAGAAGCTAGTGTTTATAAAAATCCACAGTTCCATTGAAGGAAAAAAGTTAGAGCATCAATAGAGATGAAGATTGAAACCTGCTTGAGATCTGGTCGAGATAAATTGGACACGACAAAGAAATTCAACGCACTGTTCTTCAATGTCAAATAAATTGAGAAGATGGTCTGATTCACCTGTCGTTCAATGAAATGATTCAAACAGAAGCCCTAATTTTAAAAGACGATAGCTATACTAAAAAAAGAGAGTCAACATGAGAAGTATCAAGAGGTTCACATTACCTTGGAGACGACTTGAGAAGTATTAATCAAAAGTTTCAAGATCTCTCTGCTACAATGGTTCAATCCCGCATTTTGATTTCGCCACAACCACCACAATGGTTTTGACTAGCGATTCAGTATAGGGAATAAACCATACAAAAGCTATCAAATAACCCTTGGAGTGAAATTAAAGAAACCGTGAAGATTTTAGTGGATAGATGAAGAGAGATTTTAGTGAAGAGATGAAGAGCTGGGGAGGGGACGAAATCGATTTCTAACTGAAAAGAAAAATCTAATTGAATAGATAAACCTATTAAGGTGGCGGTCAGGGAGGTGAGACGGGACGCAATCACAGGTGTAGTGGAAGAGTCACATTCGTAGTCATCAGTGCGATGGAGGAGTCGCACACCCAACTGAGAGTGAAACCATTCAGTTATAAGTATTAGCTTATCGTTGGTCGATTTGTAATGAGGAAGGCCTGACGTCGCTGGAGGAGAAGTGGCGAAGCAAGGTGAATCATCCATTATTTCAGAGCTAAGAGAGATGCGAGATTGTTTTCATTCTTGAAAAAAACCCTAGCTAAAATGGTCACAACGATTTTGTGGAATTTAGTATTTGGTGATGTTTTGGGATTTTGTTGTGCGAGAAAAGACGAGTGGTTATGATATTAGGGTTTTTTGGGTATTGATCAGTGAGGAGAGGGAAGAACGATGGAAATAATGCAGAGGATGAACGAGATGTTTGATGATAATGAAGATTAAGGTGAGGGACCTAGGGCTTTTTCTTGCTAAGTAGAAGAGGCGGGGGGATTAATTTTTAGGGTTCAATAGGCGGGGGTAATTTTCATCGATTTCATTTCCCGCCTAAAACGCGTGTTTCACTTAAAAATTATAAAGCAACACCTTTAAATGACGCACATTTTATGAAAGGCGCCCTCCGCATTTCTTTTTTTTTTTTTTTCTTTTCTGACACTAATTTTAGGGCGCGCACAAATGCTTGCCCTCTATCTTTCAAATTTTGCAAAACTGACATTATCTTTTAGGGCACTTGCAAATGCGCGTTGTCTATCAGCGAGTGTCATTGTTTGCGCGTCATTAAAGGGCTATTTTCTTGTAGTGGATGAACCGGAAAAGGCAATCCATTCGGAAGTAACAGCAGCAGACAACAAGGTAGATAATCTGAAGAAAGTTATAGACGAAGCTGCCAAATCATTAGAAACCGAAACACCTACTCCTAAACCATCACCTAGCACTTCAAACTCTGATTCATCGTTCCAGGGGGGAGGACGATAACACTTTCCAACCATATGGAGTTTCTGTCGAGGGGGAGAATTACCATTCTGCCACATCTGATACTCAAACAACTGAACCAAAATTAACAAGTGTAACTCCAATCGAGGGGGAGACTCCTACTGCTGATTCTATTGAAGACATAGGCTACACTTCGCCAGTCGAGGGGGAGAAGGTGAGAACAAGTGATTGTTCAACTGACGAAGGTGAAGGGGATAAGTCAGATGTTGAAATTGAAGTTGAAGCAGAATTAAATCCAGAATATGATCCAAGCTATCCTTCGCTAGTAAAATGGACAAAAAACCATCCCAAAGAGCAAATTATTGGTGAATCGTTTGAAAATGTTCTTACTAGATCTCAACTAAAGCCAAAACAAACAACATTATTCTTTTAAAGTGGAATTTTGTATGTTTAACTCTTTTATCTCCAAAATAGAGCCGAAAACAGTAAATGCTGCACTCGATCATTCTGATTGGGTTCAAGCAATGCAGGATGAGCTCAATGAATTTGAAAGAAACAGAGTTTGGAGATTGATTCCTACACCGAAAGATGCCTCTGTTGTTGGATTGAAATGGGTATTTAGAAATAAGCTGGATAAAGAAGGAAATGTCATTCGTAACAAGGCTCGGTTGGTTGTAAAAGGCTACTGTCAAGAAGAAGGGATTGATTATGAAGAAACGTTTGCTCCTGTGGCACGGTTAGAGTCTGTTCGAATTTTCCTAGCATATGCTGCTCACAAGAACTTCGAAGTTTTCCAAATGGATGTCAAATGTGCATTCTTGAATGGAGAATTAGAAGAAACTGTCTATGTTGAGCAACCACCCGGTTTTGTGAATGAAAGGTACCCGGATCATTGCTACGTACTGGATAAAGTGTCTATGGGCTAAAGCAAGCACCAAGAGCCTGGTATGAAACTCTTACTCGCTTTCTAAAAATGTCAAAGTTTAAACAAGGTTCGGTTGACCCAACCTTCTTTCGAAAGAAGGAAGGCGAACATCTAATGATTGTTCAGATTTATGTCGATGATATCATCTTCGGCTCTACGAATCCTAGCTTAACCGCTGAATTCAGAAAGTTGATGGAGACTAAATTTGAAATGAGCACAATGGGTCCGATTAACTTTTTCCTTGGTTTGAATATTAGACAGGGACCAGAGGGCATCTTTATAAACCAGGAAGCATACACCAAAAATCTGCTGACTAAGTTTGGAATGAAGGGTGATTCAAAAGTAAAGGTTCCAATGGCATTCGGTACCAAGCTGACCCCATCTCTGGAGAAACCGGCTGTAGACATAACTCTTTATCGACAAATGATAGGATCCCTTATGTATCTAACAGCTAGTAGACCAGATATCATGTTCTCTGTCTGTTATTGTGCCAGGTTTCAAGCTAATCCAAGAGAACCCCACATGACTGCTGTAAAGAATATTTTCGATATCTGAAGAAGACATCAACTCTCGGTCTCTGGTATCCCGCAAGATCTGGATTCTTCATACAAGCCTTTTCAGATGCTGATCTTGGAGGATGTGGATTGGACAGGAAAAGCACTACCGGAGGATGTCAATTCCTTGACGGAAAACTTGTCAGTTGGCAATCAAAGAAGCAAACCTGTGTTTCCTTGTCCACAGCAGAAGCAGAATACATCGCTGCCGCATCTTGTACCTCTCAGGTTGTTTGGATTCAAAGTCAGTTGAGAGATTATGGGATGAGTATGAAAAAGATCCCTCTCTACTGTGACTCTGAAAGTGCAATCAGGATTTGTCATAATCCAGTGCAACATTCGAAAACTAAGCACATAGCACTAAGGTATCATTTCATCAAGGATCACGTAGAAGACGGGAACGTAGAAGTACATTTTGTTCGTTCTGCTGATCAACTGGCCGACATCTTTACTAAAGCCTTACCAGAAACAACCTTCAATAAAATCTTACAAGGCTTGGGTATGATGGAAGGAGAGTCGGTACCGAATCTTCAATTTTCTCCTTAAAATAAGGACGACAGAGATAGACAGAGCGCTCGGTCTATCTCTGCTCTAGTCTTTTCGAATTAAACAGAACGCTCTGTATATCTCGTCTCCGTGAATCTCGGCTTCGCTACGTCTGCTCTCACTAATAAGACAAGGTTTCGGTTATATATATTTTATCTTTCTGTTTTTATTTTTTTTTTCAGAAAATATCCAAAAATCCAAAAATATTTTATCTTTCTGTTTTTATTTTTTTTCAAAAAATATCCAAAAATCCAAAAATATTTTATCTTTCTGTTTTTAATTTTAGAAAATATCCCAAAAATCCAAAAATATATATATTTTTTTCTTTTTGTTGCTTGTTTGTTTTGTTATTAATAGGTACGACACAAGAATAACCGTTGAAAATTCTCAAAGCAGGTATGGTTTAACTTTTATACAAACTAGTTAAGTGTCCCTAGAAGCATGCTGCTGTTGTTGTCATAAAGCCTCTATGATCTCGAGTAAG